CAGCTGCTGGTAATGAGGCTGCTGGGCTTATTGCCGCAAAGCAGTTAATGTTTGTATATGCCAGGATTGGAAGAACTGCACCCACAGCATGGCTATTCCCCTCAGAGCTGTTCAAGTTTCTCCATGTTGCATTCCTTCTTTCTTTCTTGCAATCCTTTTTGGATTTGGTTCTTTTGGGGGAAGGCTTAAACTGACCTGTGAGTGGCTGAACGGAAGACCTCTGTTTTGACCTGTACACCACCTTACCCACAGGGCTCAAGACTGATTAGTTTACCAGCACCGCCTAGATCTAAGGGGTGGTGTATACATTCTCACTCTGGTTAATGATAGGACAAATGTGCCCTCCTGTGGAGGAAGTGAGATAGATGTTATTAGTTTCATTAGAACATTTCCAGGGCTTGAAATTTGTGGATTGCCTACACCGAAGCTAGGTTTATACACAGTCTTTAAAATAGTCTGTCCAGAAAAATGACTCTGTGAATGAGTTTAACTAGTAGGAATTAAATCCATTTGCAGTGCTATCCTAAGCAGAGTTACACCCATCTAAATCCATTGAAATCAATGGGGTTGCAAAGGTGTAACTCTGTTTAAGATGGCACTGCTTGATATTTCTTGCCAGAAGGGTCTGATCCTGCTTTCACTGCTCTTTGAAGTAAATGAGACTTTAGTTTTACATTTTCTAAAAACAAAAAGTGGATCAGTAGCTTATGAATTCCAGGATTTGTGACTGATTTCTTAGCGTGTGTTAATTTTTGTATATGTTTGGGGGGTTGTTTGGGTGAGGTATGATTTTTTTGTGTTAATATATTGTAGTGTTACTTTTTAAACAGCTGCTTCATTCTTTTAAAGAAGAGGGGAAATTTTTTTAAATACAAACAAACCACTGCCTGTATAAAAGGTCTAGTTCATGAACACTTACGCCACAATTAATTGATTAAGTTGCCACAAGGCTTTTTTTGGTAATTTCCTGTCTATGTTAATATATAAAGCTGCCTTATACTGACAGGCCAGATCGCCGATCCATCTAGCTCAGTGCTCTCTCTCTGCTTGAGACCTTGGAGCTGCTTGCTAGCCGTCAGAGTAAAGAGCTTTCCCAGCACCTGATTCTTGAGATCTTTTCACTGGGGAAGCCCAGAGCTGAACCAAGACTTTTGGCATGCAAAGCATGTATTCTCTGACTAATCCAAAGCCACATTCTGTTTCCCCAGTTATGCTTCTGCAGTGTGTGTTTGCTGGCAATATAGAGCTGTGGAATGTTCAGGGCCACCCTTAGAAAATGAGTCCGGTAGGTTCAGAACCGGCTTAGCACTTCTGTCCACTTCCTTCACTAATTCAGAATGGTGTTGCTCTGCCTAATTTGCTGAGCCTGTGCTAGTACAATTTATTTAGATTTCTAACTGAGCTTGTATTTATGTTTAGTTTCTGTTTAGGGGTACTAAATACCTACAGTTGAATTTGGATGGCCGTTGCTTTAGGTGATGCACAGCTAGTGGAATGTGCTTGTAGACAGTCATGTGCTTTTATGTGTATTTGCTGTCCTCTACCTTTTAAATGAAAGAGAATTAAGTTCCACTAAAGGTAAAGGTTTCCCTTGCTCAAAAGCCAGTTGAATCTGACTCTAGGGGGCGGTGCTCATCTCTGTTTCCAAGATAAAGAGCCAGCGCTGTCCGAAGACTTCTCTGTGGTCACGTGGCTGGCATGACTAGGTGCCAAGGTGCACGGAACGCTGTTACCTTCCCACTGAAGTGGTACCTATTTATCTACTTGCAATTTCTTGCTTTCAAACTGCTAGGTTGGCAGGAGCTGGGGCCACAGACAGGAGCTCACCCCGTCATGCGGCACCCGGGTCTCGAACTGCCAAGCTACAGACCTTCCAGTCTGCAGCTCAGCATCTTAACCTCTGAGCCACCGCGGCCCCTACGTTCCACTACCACATCTCTTTTGCAGAGGAAGAGTAACACAGATAGGTTAAAAAAAGCTGGGCAGAGAGTTCTTAGAATGATAAGGGATTGCTCAGATATGGTACTCTTTCTGTGAGCTAGTTTTAAAACAGCCTTTTTTGATTATTATTGTTTGACTTGAAAACCGATCTCACTGTGCTTTTGAGGGCAAACTCCCTGAGTGTCTGTAGCACTGGAAGGAAAGTTTAAATGTATGGAGTCTGAAAAATCTGAGGTTCTTCCATGTGGAATAATTGTGTGTTGACACTTTGAGATTTTGCCACTATTTCCAATACTGGGTCCATAAAAAGTTTGATTCTGGCACATAGTTTATGTGGTTAAAAATAACCTTTCTACATGTAGATGATACTGTCTCAGCCTGGAGCCAGTTGAGAGTTCAGGTCACAGCAACTGAACTGGAGAATGCATCTCTGGCAGCTGGGCCACCAGTGGACAGGGTCTGCTGGAAGAAAATTCTGCCACTACAGTGTGTATCAAGCTTTGTCATACGGCTGAAAGATCCCAAGACAACCCCCCCCAAACCGAAAGGAGAACAGATACCCCCCTCTTCTATAAAGTTACATAAGCAAATAATGAATGGGAAAGAGGATAGTATAACCAAAATAAATGCAATAAAGAGAAAGCTAGTTGTGCTGTATATATTACAGTGTGACATTTAGTCAGTGCAAATGACCAATCTATGTAAACTTGAGTTCACCTTTCCAGGGCCAGGGAAGTCTCTTTGGGCTTCTCCATTGTTGGAGGGGTACAATGTATATGCAAGATGATCTCAGGCAGCATTGAAATAAATTTTTATGTGCCTGGATAGGATGGTCAGAGAAGGAAACGCATACTACTCGACCTAGACAAGGTACAGTGGCCCCAAGCTCCGTTCTGGACCATTGGCTAAGAATGTTGAGCCTGATCTATAAGGACTCTGAGCCTCTCCAGGTTCCACATCTCCAGGAATGAGTGCAGTTTGCCTTCCAGTCTCTCCAAAATGTCTAGAAACACATTCTGAGTCCTGGGAATGGACTAGGAAGAATGGAATAACTGAACTAAGAGTAAGTACAGCTCCCCCGAGACAGGTTTTAAAGTTGGACTAGGAAATACTGGGTTGTCTGAAGATCTAGTTAGATCAGAGGTGTCGAACTCATTTGTTACACTTTGTCAGGCCAGGCCATCTATGCCATATAATGTAATGCCAGGTACCAGAGAGAGAAACTTTTTAAAGGACACAGGCAAACCCAACCAACGATTTTTTAAAATTCAAAATACAAACAAAAGCAATTGATTCCTACCAGTGAAAGCAATTGATTTCCTGGGGAACCCACAAAAGCCCCAATAAATGTATTTAATCATATGCAAGATTAGTTTTTCCCCCAAGGGATACCATAAAAGGGGGGATACCTTATATTGTCATACAAATTAGTTACTTTTGGTATATATAGTACTTTTAGGAGTTGAGTCATCATCCTTGCAAGTAAATAAGGTAGTTTTTCAGCACACGTTCCCATTCGCCCAGCCAGAACATGGTTATAATCCATCTTTGTTTCCTCTCTTCCCCCTTCCTACCTCTGAGGATCTCAAGGAGGCACACAAGACAACCCCCTCCACCACCCCATCTCCACCCCCACCACCAACACTGTGAGGTGGGCCAGACTAAGCAACCCAGCTCCAGGTGACCCAGAGGACAAGCTCCTGGCTCAGGAGGGGGTTCTGAAACTGGCTCTCCCAAATCTCCCTTCCCCCAGTTCCTACCCCTCCTGCGTTTCCCAAAGAAGCGGTGGGTTTGGGGAAGGTCTGATGGAGAGGCTGTTTCCAAAACCTCCAGGGGATGCTTTTTGTCCTCCTGTGACCCCTTCATCCTCACGGGCTGAAAACAGGTGGGGGGGGGGAGGAAGGGGAGGTTGTCATTCCCCAACCGCCCCAACACTCACTCTGCCTCTGGGCTCTGCTGCTGTTCAGACATGTGGTGGTGACATCGGCACCCCTTTTCTGCTTCACACCTCCAGTAGCTTCCAATGCCGGGAGGTCTTTCCCCTCAGAGACAGCCCAGTTGCCTCCCAATCCATGTGCTGGCCCTCCTCCTCCTCCTTTCTTCCCTGCTGGCCCCATCTCTTCATTGGGAAACCACTACTCTGCACATCTACTCTCACCAATGCCCCTCATGGTCACCATCTGAAAAAATGTGAAGCTGGTTGGTGCAGTGGTGGCAACACTGACCACTCTGCTCCCCCCCCCTGCCATGTAGTGACTTTACCAATCTTCATTGAGCTGCGGTTGGAGATGGCAGGAGGGGGGGAAACATGCCTCCCCTTTCTCCACCTTTGCTTTCATTCTCCCCATTTTACCTCAGCCTTTTAGCCCTGTCCCCTAGCCATTTCCTTTCTTTTTCTTGACAACTTTGACTACAAACACATCTCACCACGTGTGCCTGCCCACCTGCTCACCTCATGGAGCATCCTCTGGCCTTCCCTTCCTCGCAGCAGTTGCTTGCAGGCCGGGTAAGAGCCCTGGACTGGCCAGTTCTGGCCCCCAGGCTGTATGTTTGACATCCCTGATTTAAATGGTGGCCGTAACATAGCAGCCTCCATCTAACATAGCAGCCACACTCTCCCAAACATTAGTAGCAACATGTGCATGTGTCAGTCCCCCCCAAAATCATGGAGTTCAAGTGGCAATTAATACCCACTGTCATGGCAGAAGTAGCCAGGACCAAGAGAAGAGGAGGTGGGCTGGAGTCAGCAGTGGGAGAGTGGAAGTCAGAACCCAGTTGGTGGGGAAGGAGAGTAGTGCCATACAGCAAGGGAGGAGGGGCTGGCGGGGGGGGGAGCTGGAGCCACATTTCATGGGGTGGGAAGAAGGGGAGAAATGAGATCCTCATGAACAAAATACAATTGTATAATATATTATTAGCTTTTATTTTATTGCACACATATTGGACAATTCCTTTGAAGATTTGTTTTTGAATTGGTGGGCTATTGTTTTTTTTGTTTTGCTTTTCCCACTTGCTTCGCTTAGCTAAGGAGAATACCTTTGAAGCTTTTTTTGTAGCTTTTTGTTTGGTTGTTTGGCAATTTGAGAATATCCCCGTGAGCAGCCAAGAAAGTAATACAAGCCCCAATTTTCCACTGCCTTTCCCTGTGGCGGTAGCATCTCATTTACAAAGATTTCTTTCCTGAAGCTCAGCATGTCTGTTGCGATCTGTTAACCAGCAGCTGCAAATCTTTCCTGCTAGATAATTAAAAAAAAAGAGATTTAAAATGCATTTGTTTAAATATCTCACCAGTTCTGTTCTAAGGATGCAGGGCGTATAGCAGGGGTTTGGTTTTTTTAAACAATTTGTCCGATCAGCTTAGAAGAGATGAAAAATAACCCCCAGACACGTGTTAACGCCAGACTTCAAAGTCAAACAAAAACGGTTTTAAAAAATGCTGCTTGTTCTCTTCAAAACTAAGGCACTGATACCTGTAAATGTACAAATGGGTCTGTTTGTGTGCACTGTGATCAGAACAAAGCATGGGAGAGATCACTGCATCCCACCCTCTCTCAACTGGAATGGATGCCCTGCAATGCCCCCTCTAAGGCTGTGGAGTCTTGTGAGCAAAAATTCTACTTTGTGAGCTACTGGCATTAAAGTTGTGAGCAAGCAATTTGGCTACTGCATAAATCAGTTTGCTCTGGAGTCCTCCTTCCTGAGCTGAGACAAAGATGTGTGAGCCGGAGGCTAAAAAACTGTGAGCTAGCTCACCCTAACTCAGCTTAGAGGGAACACTGATGGCCCGTGTGGGATGCCCCTCTTTTATTCACCAGTCCTTGCAGAAAGGTTTTAGTGGAATCTCAGAAACTTGAAAAATTTGGGATAGCCTTTTCCTTCCTTTTTTCAGGCCACTGGTCACCAATGTTCCCTCTAAGGTATGGAGTCCTGTGAGCAAAAATTCTACTTGGTGAGTGACTGGCATTAAAGTTGTGAGCAGGTGATTTGGCTACTGCATAAATTAGTTTGCTCTGGAGCCATCCTTCCTGAGCTAAGACAAAAATGTGTGAGCCGAAGGCTAAAAAACTGTGAGCTGGCTCACACTAACTCAGCTTAGAGGGAGCCCTGCTGGTCACTTCAAATAATGACTGAAACAAAGAACATTCTTTGCATTTCCCTTTCCCCTGAAAAGATTAAAGGGCTTCCACCTACCACTGACGTTTGTGCTTGATGATCCGCTGCATTTGTTAGGAGTCAAAAAGAGCCAGCAAGCTCTAAAGGTGAACTGCCTTGGTAAAAGGATCTATGGTGATGGTTTCAGAAATACAGTGTTGTGGATGTCACTGTGACCTTCCTGGAATGCATTTAGAAACACTCAAAATAAATGCAGGAATAGAAACTGCCAGTGCTACCGTCATCCTCCCTTCCCTTTTCCAAAGGCTGCAGAAACAAATCCCATTAACACATGCAATTAATGCAGAAGAAAAAACCTCAGCCTCCTGTGCTGGGTAAGTCCTACAACAGAGCAAAGCAATACTGAGAATTGGATGTAGATATGGAACTCTGTTGAGCTTCGTTGAAGTATGTGGCTTAGAACTCCAGTCATGGTTTAAGTGAAATTCTGGCAGTGTCATAGTCTCTCTGGCTCATACGTAGTTTAAAGACACTCCAGCATTCCTGTTGCTATCTTCAAGTACGTCAAGACTAAAATAGTAGGCAAGAGCAAGAGTCCAGGTATCTGAAGAAGTGAGCAGTGACTCACGAAAGCTCATACCCTGCCACATATTTTGTTAGTCTTTAAGGTGCTACGGCACTCTCTTTCCACTGCTACAGACAGACTATCACAGCTTGATGTAAGACTAAAATAGAAATCCAGTGTGGTTCTTGGCTGGGCCCTGACTCTTCAACATGAATTAGGCAAACTAAAGCAGAAATTCAGTCATCTGGCCACAAAGCTGAAAGTCCTGAGTAGTATTTTAAGATTTGTCCCTCTCTCTGGAAGTGGCACACACACTATAAGGTCACACATCTGGAAGGAAGCCAAAATATGCACACAGTGAAATTTAGTCAAAGAGAATTTTGCCCTCTCCTCACCATTTGACAAATTGGATCCCTTGGCTAAATATCATCTGATCTGCAGAGTTAGCAAACATGGCTTTAGAAGTTGTAGAACTTGTCCAAAGAAATCCTGGACGTGGAAGCAGCTGCCTTTCATTATTCTGTGCTCAGCACACAGATGGAATATTTGCCCTGTTTCTTGATAGGAACCTAACTGCTTCCTCACCTCCATAGAGGACTCAAACCAGGAATGCAGTGTATCATTGCAAGGTGGATGTGCACCACAGGTCGGAGAGGAGCTTCCTTGCTGGCTGCTCAGCTCTCCCATTTCTTTTCGTTTCAAGCTTCTGTTCAGCAAAGTAGTAAGAAGTAGAGATACGTAGTAATCATCTACGTCTTTGCTGATCACAGAGACTGCTGACGAGGAACAAAGATAGACCTGTCAGTGATATGCTCCATGTTCCAGATACACAGAAAGGTTCCTTGATAGCCCTGTCACATGTTGGAATTGCTTTCTTCCTGAGAGCTAGGATAGTCTGAGCCTAGATAGCTTTCATAAGTAATGCAAGAACTCTTTGTTCAAGCAAGCTTTTGTGGCTAGGCTAGAGATACTGTAAGGGTTTGTTGGCATCTTTTGAATAAAGATAATTAAGGGTCTGAAATACTTAGGGTTACCAGCCCTGGACTGGAAAATACCTGGGGGTGGATCCAGGAGAGGGTGGGGTTTGGGGAGGGGAGGGGAGGGGCCTCATCATGGTACAATGCCATAGAATTCATCCTTCAAAGCAGCTGTTTTCTACAGGGGAGCTGATCTCTGTCAGCTGGAGATCAGTTGTCAAAAGAGGGAGATCTCCAGGCCCCACCTGGAGGCTGGCAACACTAAAAATACTAATAGTTACCCAAGGATTGCTGATCATAGCCTTTGGGGGGTAGGGTGAGCCAAACAACTAGTAAAACAGAAGTCATCCACTAGAGGTGTTCAGCCAAATCTGGCCCTTCTGGAAAGTGCCACTTGGATCCCATCTGCCAATTTAGAGATGAAAGAAATGAGGAGTAAGTAGCATCTAAGGCAGCTGGTAAATCCCTCTAAGTGGGTGATGATCGAGTCACTGTCCCACCATTCCTCATTCCCTTCTACAAGTAACTCTGTGGGGAAACTGTTGCCTCTGATTTCAGACCTGATTTTTGAAGAATCCAGGGAGTTGCCAAAGCGTTAACAATCCAGACCATTATATACAAGGCTATATATAATTAACAATGATCATACTGTATTTGAATGCTAAGCTGTTTTCTTTACCATCCCACTTTTGAACTGAATGTGGTGCCTTCTGCCATGTACTCCCATCTAATGCAGCCTGGGCTGATATGTGGTTCATCTCTGCACCGTTTCATGTCTCCATTTCACCCTTCTCATCACCACCAAGTATTTCCAAAGCGAGCATTTTACAAACAATAAAATGTTGATAATCTTCTATCCCACAGACTCAGCTCACAATTGCTTTCATTAGTTTTTGTGTGTTCTAATGCTCTCTTTTGTATCTTCAGAGTGGTAGCTACTCTGTCAAATCTTTGAGCGGTTTCTAAATGGGAAAAGTGTCATATACATGTCCTAAATAAAAACATTAACTAAATTGTTATAATTTGGATTTACCAGCAGTAGCAACATTTGCCCAGGCTGCCTGTGTTTGGATCAGTGTGGATTTGGAACTGGTACTTTGTATGAAGCATTTTAAGTGATAATAGACAAGGTCGAAGCCAGTTCTGTCCTGCACTGTTTCAAAGGCAAAGAACGTTTCAGATGAGAATAATTTATTCAAAAGTATTCAGTGCACCTGTAATATGAGAAGACATCTACCCCCAGGTTAACGTTATACAGATTGGATTCCTGCCTGATTAGCTAGTTATCCCAAGCAAATCTGCCCTTCTCAGGGAGACAAGAAGTCGTTTGTATGACACCCTCTGTACACAGGGAGCACTGAGTGATGCATGGTTGGTTTATAGGTATTAATGTGCATAAATAAACAATGCATCCCAAAATGGGATTATTTACAGCTGCGTTCATGAGGTGGAGGAAACAAGGAAATTCTAGCTTTGAACAACTTCCTTTAGTAACTCTAATCATTTAGCACCTCCCACCCTATAAGTCAGCTAAATAAATGGGCCAGTCATAGGTTAACTGTACATTTTATTTTTTTATAAAAAGCAAACAGCATTAGCTCTGTGTGGAAATACCATCCTTTTTACTCTGTTAGAATGCCCATTGTCTTCTTAAATGGAAAAAAAATCCCCCTATGTTGTGCTGAGATCAAGGGGAATAATTTGCCCTTTTCAAGTCTTTTTTTTTTCCTTTGCTGCTGCTGCAACTAACCAAAAACACCATATTTCTGAGCTAGAAGGATTCTGTTATAACCTTGAAGCTTGCCTGCTTATCATTAGAGATGGATGCCTGGAAAAACAGTCGCTTGGTAAAAGTGCACCCCAATACTTGGCAGCCAGCACATTTAGTATTTCATTTAAGTAAAACAGTTTGTTAAAGTGGTTCAAGCGCACAATTAACTCTGAGAGTTTCTCTCACTTACGTGGCTGACTGCACATATCCAAGAATGTGAAGTGGTCATCTTGAGCAGGGCTAGTGACCTCCATGCGTGGAGCATTGCTTCCATTTTTAATCATGCTGTGAATTGCTTAGAGAAGCCCAGATTTGGAAAGAGCGGGCTCAGGAACATTTTTCAAATTAATATTGCAAGCACTATCAGACTAAAGCAGTTCAAAAAGCAAGGAAGAGTCCCCCCCCCCCGGTTCAGGTGGTGAGGGCAGTCCTGTCTTGTCTGGAAATACAGGCTTGTTCTATAGCAAATGTTTATCCTCTGAAGGTCAATGCTATAACGCAAGCTTGAATTATACAGCAGTTTTCTAAAGTGACGGGAGTTCTCTCTGCTACAACATACTGTCTCTTCCAGAGAGCAAGCCGCAGTCATTGGATATGCATAAAGAGCATTCAGTCTCTTCTTTTGTCGAAGATTGCTGCCTTTGTGGTGTATAATAAATAGATTCTGAGGCAGTCAGACTGGAATTGCTAAAAGGAAATACCTCACTCTTTCTGATGGGGGAAGTTCATGGGAAATGATAAGAGTGATCCATCATCCACCATCCAAGGGGGAATTCTCCGGACACTTTGGTGAGAAACTCCCTCATAAATGTATCTTATATCTTCCTTCCGTGATGGAAAACAAATGTGTTCCTTCTCCATCCCCTCTCCCCAGTTACATCCATCTTGGGGAATGCTTGCTACCCATCTGCCTTTGACAGCTCTTCTGCTTCATAGGACATGATAGGGCGATCTGAAAAGACTGAACTGATGGATTGAGAGTCCAACTTAAGCTGCAGCAGCTTGGGGCTTTTAGCATCAGGAAAGTCCTCGCTAACAGCCAGCCTGACCTTGCCATTCTGAGCCTCCTTGATGGGCTCTAGGAAAACAACATGCTTGTTTGTGCCCATCTTGCGATTCGGCCCATCTGTGGCTGGTGGGGTTGTACTTAGAATGGATGATTGGGCACTGCAGTCTTGAGGAGGACCTGCAGGCTTCTTGAAGCACTTGGAGCAGCGACATGGTGTGAGATACAAGTACACGAGGACTAGTAACAAACTGACAACACACCCTAGGAGGGTTGTGATGCCAGTATTGAAAGAGTCAACCAATTTAGGATACTGGACTGTGATGTTGACTTCATAAGTTGCATTAATCTTTTGGCGCTCGCTGATAGCTATGCATACATAAACACCAGAATGGAAACGGTCAGCATTTGTAATCGTTAGGCTTCCATTTTTTAAAACTTTGTGTGTCTTATCACTGTGCTCAGGGTACATGAATAATTCATGCTTGGGAGAGATCCACCTGTAGATGGTGGTGTTGTCATCATGAAAGCTTGTGTTGCAATGAATTACTAAGGATTGTCCCACTTTGCATGGAATCTTTGGAATGCTCAGTTCTTTTAGACTCGTGGAGCAGTTTTCAAAATATTTATACTTGAAGGTATTGACAATAGATTGTGGCACATCGCTATAGGCTTTGCAGGTATGCTGTTCTGTGAAATCCTGCGCAGAACTGAAGCCACGATTTTTCCATTCTTGAAGCATCTGATGGAGAGAGCACTCACACTTCACAGGATTGTTGTGAAGATATAAACCATTTTTTATGTAGACAGGCAAGGCTGCTATCTCTTCAACTGGGATGCTGCTTAGATTGTTGGTAGAAAGATCAAGGGTCCTCAAATGACTGTGTTTGAATCCCTGAATGGCTCTGAATGGGAACTGAGTTATGTAGTTCCAACTTAGATAGACCTTTTGCAAACTGATGAGCTTGACAAAAGCATTCCCATCCACTTCTATAATTTTGTTATGGTATAGCAAGAGCTCCTCCAAATTCACAAGGTTTTCAAAGTAGTGCTTCTTGACAGCATGCAGACGGTTGGAGGACATGTCCAGGTGCACAAGGGAAACAGCACTGTGGAACACCTGCCGCGAGAGGTCATTGATCCGATTGTGGCTGATCCTGAGGGTGTGAAGGCGTGGTAAGGTGGCCAGCCAGTGGTCATTAAGATGAGTGATGGCATTGTGGCTGAGATCCAAGGTGGTGGCTGTAGGAGGCAGTAGGACAGGGACCTGGTGAAGCTCCTGTCTGGCACAACTCAAGAGATCAGCAGTACAAATACAAGCCTTAGGGCAGCTCGTGAAGGCAGATGAATTGAAAGTGCTGACTTCAGTAAACAGTTCTAAGAATACCAGCAGATTCCTCAGAAATTTCCAGACAACTGTAGCCAGTGGCAGCATATTCATCATACACCGAAGGGTTCCCCCACCTTTGTTAACAGCAACATGGAACCAAGCTGTCAAGGTAATTTTCACTGCAAACAGAACCCTGCCAAGGAGCACAGTAGCGTGAAGAAATCACGAAAATAGATCTTCTTGCACCAAAGTTAATGAAATGGAAGTCTCAAATGGACACAAAGTTCAGTCACTTGGGAGAGAAAGTTTAGTGGCAAATCCTATAAAAAAGCTTTAGGTTCTAAAGTACGTCAAGAAAGTCCACTTAGACACACTTTGTATCTAAAATGATTTAGAGCAGCACCTGTTCAGAACTCCTGCTGGTTTGCTCAACTCCTAAAAGCAGCGCAAGGAGCTGCAGACACATGCTGCCGTTCAGTTTCTATGCAACACACCTAGGTGCCTGTTTATCTTCCGCAGCAAAATCTGAAATCCCCTGTTGTCTGGTGTTCTTTTTTTGCTGACCCAAGCATCCTTGGAGCCCGAAGTTTCCATATGTGGATCCTCATCTCGTGCATAGGTATCTCTTGCACAAATCCATCACAAAGGAGGCTTGGGTCGGGTAAAAGTGCATCTCTGTATTCCAAAATGGAAATGTTGGCAAAAAGTAAGGAATGCCCAAAAGGGAGCTCTTACCCTTGTATGTTCTTTTCTGGGTGGTAGTGAGCAGCTGTATTCCTTCCTGCCTCTTGTTTCATCTTTCGTCTGAGATCGGTGTATGCAAATATTTCCCCCTCTTCTGCTCCTATTTACAAGCTGCCTCTGAATACGGAAGGCTGAGCCTTATGAGTCAGGAGAAATTCTATTGGTCTGTGTAACCAGGGAGTGGTGGTAGAAGGGGGTGGAGAGAAGACAATCAGTAGTGAAGAAATTTTTTTTGAATGGTGTGCAGTTTCTTTATTATGCCATGTGGGGGCAGAAAAATCCTGCACAGAGAACCTGGGATTGGGCATCATACAAGAACTGCAGCAACTCATGCCAGGAGTACGTTTCCAAGGGGGAAGCCAACGGATGATAGAAGAGGCTTGGTAAAAGAAGAACAAATGTGATCTTGATAAGCAGCCAGACTGTTTTTGCTTTTTTTCAGGTGTTTCTGTGTGGGGCTGTAAGATTTCTTAATTTTAGCAGTTCTTGGATCTTGGCTGCATTTGGGAAAAAGTATTTGAACCCATAGTAGTGTTTAGAGGACATAGCCAAGACCAGCCCTGTTGTTTTGGCCATTTCACAGAGATTATTAATTTTGGTTAGACTCTCTTCATACAGAGAGATATAATAACAGTTGTTCTGTGACCTTTATAGCAACTTGTAATGTTAGTGTGATTACATTTGTTAGGGTTTAGTCAGGGAGATTTTAGTGTTCAGTTTTAGTGAACAGAAACATTTTGTATGGACATCTGAATTCTCAATGATAAGTACCCAGACCGTAACACAATATGTGAACACACATATATGCATACTTGAACAGAATAGGATAGAATGTAGGAGAGGACTCAGAGGCACAGAGTTACCAAAATGACTGCACAATGTCACAAAGATGATCAGTTTCACAGAAAACCTGGTATTTTGGATTATTTATCTAGTGATCTATTTATGCAGTGTTGGCTTTGCAAGAAAATATCTAGGAAACTGAGACCCACGAAGACCGTGTAAGTCGGCATAATTATGTAGCCAGTGAGTAATTCATATTCCACATGTGTCCTAACTTTACAGTCCATAATGCCTCTCTCCTACAAAGCCTAAAGCATACTGGAGCTTCTTTGATATCCAACAGTTCAGGCCTCTGCTTTCAGTGTTGTGTGCATTTAAGCCTTTCATTCTTTTGAAGTTAATGAGTGGCTCCCTTGGCACTCTTCTTAACCTTTCCCCAGTGGGGCTGTACACCAGGAAGTGGTGTGCCCTGGGAAGGCTTAAGGTTGGAGGCAGTTAACATCCTTTCTGTTGCTATGCTTAATTTCCAGCTCATGTCACAAGCCATTTCCCCAGTCCCTTTTCTTCTGCACTGCTGCATTGACTTTAGCAAATTAATGCAGGGATGAAGGTATGTAGGTAGTTACGTTGGTTCATAGCAAAATCCAGAACAAAAGCCATGTAATGTAATATATTTTAGTAAGACTAAACTAAGTAATACAGAACAGTGTGCAAGCTTTTGAGTTCTCTTGAACTCTTCATTATGCTTGATGTTAAAAGGGATAGGGTAAGGGGAAAGAGGATCATTCAGGCTATTATCTTAAATCTCTTCATCAGCATCCTGTATAGACTGTTTTGCTGACATCAGTAGATGTAGGGTGTGGCTGGTATCATGTTGCCCCCTTGGCATACTGGGAACAAGAAGCAACTAATGGAAGCCATCCATTTGAAAGCATAACAGCCAGCAGTTGATTAAATAGCTCTCTCATGCCAAACAGAACACACATACATCCTTTCAAAGACCAAGAGCAAAGAGAAAACACAATAATCTTTCTATTAACAATACTGGAGATTAATTTTATTTGATGCACTAAGTAAAGAATCAATGTAAACTGAATTGTAGTAGTAGTATTGCATTCTGACACTTACCAGGTTCATTTTCCTCTTATTGAAGTATCCCTTTCTTTATTTGCTAAATCCCAGTGTTCCCACAAGAGACAAAAAACTAAGTTGTCACACTGCTACATAGCAAAATCCAAAAACAAAAGCCTTGTAACCCTTTTGATCAATGCCATAAAAAATAACGTAATCCAGTGTTCAAGCTTTCAGTTCAGTAGAATTCTTCATCAACCTAGGTATTTTTTTAAAAAGAGGAGGGAAAAAATCTTTCAGGCTTGTCTCTTTGTCAGCATTCTGTGCAGAATGCTTCTGTGATTTTACGTGGTATTGAGTGCGGAAAGTATGAAGTTGTACCCTTTGTGTTGTGCCCATTGAAGTCAGCAAACCACTACACAGGATACTGATGAAGAGACCATGGCTTGAAAAAACTTTTTTTCTCCCCCTTCTTTTTTAAAACATCTATCCTGATGAAAAATTCTGGAGAACTTGAAAACTTGCACAGTGCATTGAGTTTTTCTGTTTAGTTCTTTGTGGCTTTTGTTTTTTGATAGTACAAGGACTAGGATTTTTAACCTCACCTCATCATCCTAGTAGTATGCCTGTACTCTGGACAAGAGGCTAATGTTAGGACAGAATATTTAGAAACAGAATGGTTTGCGATTGGCAGAGGTGTCAGAGTAGGATGTATTTTATCCCCCTGGGTATTCAATCTATAGGCAGAACATATCAGAAGGAAAGATGGATTATATAGAGCTGGAGGTGGAGTGAAAATTGGTGGAAAGAACATTAACAATTTGAGATATGCAGATAACACCACATTACCGGCAGAAAACAGCTACTGATGAAGGTTAAAGCAGAAAGTGCCAAAGCAGAATTACAGCTGAACATCAAGAAGACAAAAGTAATTACAGGAGAATTACACAACTTTAAGTTTGATGAGGAAGAAATTGAAATTGTTCAAGTTTTTCTATTCCGTGGCATTATCATCAACCAAAAGAAAGACTGCAACCAAGAAATCAGAAGGGAATTGAGACTGGGAAGGGTAGCCATGAATGAGCTAGAAAAGATTCTTAAGTGTAGGGATGTGTCACTGGCGACACAGGTCGATAAGCATATGGAGCAGAGGTCCATCAGTGGCTATTAGCTACAAGGTATAGATAGGGACTCTGGGGCAAGTGATGCTCTGTCATCTTGGTGCTTGGGGGGGTCAACAGTGGGAGGGCTTCTAATGTCCTGGCCCCACTGGTGGACCTCCTGATGGCACTGGTGTTTCTGGCCACTGTGTGATACAGAGTGTTGGACTGGATGGGCCTTTGGCCTGATCCAACATTGGCATCTCTTATGTTCTTATGTTCTTAATTCGTGCCATAGTATTCCCCGTTACTATGTATGAATATGAAAGTTGGACAGTGAAGAAAGCTGACAGGAAGAGAGTTGATTCATTTGAAATGTGATGTTGGAGGAGAGTTTTACGGATACCATGGACTGCCAAAAAGACAAATAAGTGGGTTCTAGATCAAATCAAGCCTGAACTCTCCCTAGAAGCTACAATGACTAAACTGAGGCTATTGTACTTTGGTCACAAGACTCACTGGAAAAGGCAATAATGCTAGGAAAAGTTGAAGGCAGCAGGAAAAAAGGAAGACGCAACATGAGATGGATTGACTCTATAAAGGAAGCCACAGCCCTCATTTTGCAAGACCTGAGCAAGGCAGTTAACAATAATATTTTAGAGGACATTTATGCTTTTTTTAAATTTTTATTTTTTCCATTTTTCAAAAATATTACAGCCAATTTTTATATTTTTCACAGAATCACAGCACTCTATATACTAATAAAATTGCTATCTATTCTATTACTAAAGATAGGTAAGCCTTCAAAAAAACTCAAATTTAAATTATATATCGTTCTACTGTTCAAAAGTACAACAAATTCTTATAATATGAGGACATTAATTCATACGGGCACCATAAATCAGACGACAGCACTGAACACCCATACACACTTCAGTAGTGAGATAATGTAATGCAAATTGCATCTTCACCATTAACAGACAGAAATTTGTAACAGGATGTGCTCAGTCTTGAATTAAATTACTAGCTGTCACACTGAGATTAGCAGAAGTGTTATCGTGGCCACCTCTAGTCCTTTTGAAGAGATAGTGCTGTTCCACTTTTTTTTGTCTGCATAAAAAAATCTGATTAGCCATTGCTCTGAGCAAGCGGTCTAGGGAAACAAAACCAGTGTTCATGATCACGTGGCATTCCCTCTTGAATTTTGTTCCTTACCTTTTTGAGCTTCATTGCACATATGCATTGGTGAAGCAGTTACCAGTTTATTGGATAGATCACTTGCCTCTCTTTGTTTTCATCTATATGTATGATATTTGTCTAAGGTTTTTATACTTCTGGTACCATTATGCTGTTGTTTTTCTTCTCACCTCAAGTCATCCTGTAGTCGGTCCACTTAGTGTCACCCCAGCTTGATTCTACGGCACTGGAGAATGTGTTGACAAAGTCAGTAGCTGGTTGAAGCTGTGGGACTAGAGTAAGGTGCAAATGCAACAGGTAATCTCTGATAGATCAACATTGTAAAGATAAATGACAGGGAAATGGGAGCTGCCTGGAGTGGTCTTTCTTTTATTTTGTTCCTGTGGAAAGCTCTTTGTGCCCAATGGGTCTGGCAGAGAGGGACTATGTGATCTTTGCCCCCCTGTGCTGTTTAAGCAGGTGTGAAACTTAACAGGGCCTGTCA